ACGTTTGGGCACGGAGGTGAAAAAAACAGCATTTCAGGCGGTCGCACACCGGACGAGAAAGGCAGCGTCGCGTTGCGCCACGTCTTTAAAATCCGAATACTTTATTTTCTATGAGTGTAGGCACACCGGCGGTGCCATTCGGCGTCTGTCCGCAGCGCCCAGCTACGTCGTGTTATAGCTTGTTTCCACCACAGGATAAAAAAGAAAAAAGAAACTGCAACTTTTTTATCTCACAATTCTGACATTTTTTTCACACAATTTTGAGTTTATATCTCACAATTCAGACTTTTTTCTCAGAATTAAAAGATTAAACTCGGAATTGTGATAAAGTCCGAATTCTGAGTTTACATCTCGCAATTCTAACAATTTTTTTCTCAGAACTGCAAGTTTATATCTCACAATTCTGAGTTTACATCTTTGCAATTCTCCGAAAAAAGTCTAAATTGTAAGATAAAATGTCACAATTACCTTTTTTTTTCTTTTTTAATTGAGTGGCAGATAAGGGCTTCCATAAATAATAACCCTGGAACATGATGACAGAAATGACTCACGAGGCACCACAGGGCTCCAGATGAGGTAGCGATGATGGTGGCGGCCCTCAGCGTGTTGTACATGAGGGCCAGCTCTCCAAAACTCCCACGGTCGTCATAAGAGCCCACGGTCCGCGTGGTGCCGTCCACTTTCAACGTGATGTCAAACGTTCCCCTGCGCGAGAAACACAATGAGATCTCGACGTCTGAAAGGTCTAAACACCAGCATCATGATCCAAAGATGAACATTTATACCTCTCAATGACGTAGAAGTTGTCGCCATCGTCGTCTTGATCGATAATGTGCTCTCCGGTCACCACTACCTTCTCAAACATGCCATCCAGGACTTCAGACATCTGCTCCTGTTGGTTTGGAGAGCAAAATATGAGCCTTTCTTGTGTTAAAGGGAGAGTTCAGCGAAAACGGATGGTTTTGTCATTTTTGTTTCTTCTGTCAAATATAAAAGGAGATATTTAACAGATTTCAGGGTTTGTTCCCAGTGTTATTACAGTTAGCTAAATCTAAAACCATTAAAAAAATATTACTTGAAATAAAATACATTAACTGAAAAAAATACTAAAATAAAAATGTCAAAAAAACACACAACAGCAACAAGAAAAAAAAAAAACTTTAACAAAAATTAAAATGAAATGAAAATATAAAAATGAAAATGAACTATTAATAAAAACTCTAATAGTATCTCAAATGATAAAAATGTAAACTATTGAACTTTTTTTTAAAATTTGAAATAAAGTTGGAATAAAATAAAATATAAATATTATGAAAAATGACAAAATCAAAATGCAGCCTTTGCTGCTAACTTAAACTAACCTAAAACTGATATAACACTGACATAAAAAATTAAATAAACCTAAATCATAATATTAAAAGAAAGAAAGAAAGAAAGAAAGAAAGCACATAACGAAGCTACTAAAAATAAAAAAAATAAAACTGAAAACTGAAAACGACCTAAATAGTAATATAATAAAAAACGAAAAAAATGACAAAAGCACATAAGAAAATTGATAAAAATGTAACAAAAATTAACCTGAAATATAAAAATAAAAGCTAATCTAAAAATCTTAATAAAAACTATAAAAGTATGTAAATAATACTAAAATAGCACTGGTTTGGAACATCATTAAGGTGAGTAGATGATGACAGGTTCATTTTTTGATCTTTTTTTTTTACATAATATGCAAGATAATGAGACAACTTTTCAAAAATATACTAAACAAACCATCCATGTTAATGTTAGTGGTTCTTTAAAAAAAATAGCCAAACCTTGCATTTTATTCTCTCATAAACAGTTGATAATCTTACCTGGTCCAGGTTTTTGAACAGTAGGATGTCTTTGCAGGCTTCCTGTAGTCTCTGTCTCTGCTCGTCTGTTTTAGGGTGAGTGACCTGAGGGCACAGCAAAGCATGATGGGATACTGGGCAGCAGATGCCACAGAAATGCATAAAAGAGGAGGACCTCTCTGTCGCCGGAGCATTTCAATAGCAGGTTTCGAGAGGCCACTCACCCTGGGTTCTCTCTCCTCTTCATCCTCATCAGGGTTGTACGCCTCCGCACAAACTGTCCAAAGACCAATGAATTAGGAAAACGGAAGCAGGATTAGAGTCGAAAACAAATCAAACCGACCAGTCTAGACAACGCATTACTGCGCAATTAAAATACAGAGCTTTGTGCAAGCTGTTATAATAAAAACAAGCCATTTTAAGAGCATCTGAATCTTCATGTCTACATTCAAACACTGGATTATTGGATTGTTTTTAAATGGTTAACACATAATAATTACAATACTGTAATAATGACTCTTTTAGTGAAACACAAAAGGAGATGTTTAGCAGAGTGTCCAAGCTGCTCTTTTATAAACTTGAAGACTATTTACAATTTTCAGTGAATAATAGTTTAAATTTGGGAATTTTTCTCACACAAATCTAATCCAATCAAATCTAAAATTAGAGACACTGCTTTGGCAGCTAACTGAAATAAGTAAACATTGATTATAAATAAAAATAAAATAACCTAAACATTATTAAATATAAAAAACCAATAAAAAAAAGACCAAAGCACATAAAAAATTACTAAAAATGAAAACTACAACTGAAATAACAATAAATAAAACGCAAATAGTAATATTAAAAAAATATAAATAACATGACAAAAGCACATAACAAAATAACTAAAAATGGAAAACTAAAATTTAAATGAATAAATTGAACCTAAATAGTAATAAAATGACAAAAGCACAAAGCAAAATTACTAAAAATAAAAATTAAAACTGACATAAAATAAAATAAACCCAAATATTTAAAATAAAATAATAAAATGACAAAAGCACATAAAATTACTAAAAATGAAAACTAAAAATGAAACAAAAATAAATTATACCTAAATAGTTATATTTAAAATAAAATAATAAAATTACTAAAAATTAAAAGTAAAACTGAAATAAATATAAATTAAACCTAAATAGTAATATTTAAAAAAAATATATAAAATATCAAAAGCACAAAACAAAATGACTAAAACTAACATAAAAAATAAATTAAACCTAAATTGTAATATTTGAAAATAACAAAAACTAATAAAAATGACAAAAAAAATTAACTAAAATTAAAATGGAAAAAAAAAAGCAAATTCAAAATCAAAACTATAATAGTATATAAATAATACTAAAATAATGCTTGTTTATGCTTAAAAAACAGTCATGTGACAACAAAGGGTATTCATTGATTGTGCATCTACAGAGATATAAACAACAGAAATACATATACATGGGTATAAATTAACTACAGAACTACTCAGATACTGTTTTACAGATTATAGTATTGAGTTACCTAAATGGATTGTATTAATTATAAATAAAAATAAAATAACCTAAACATTATTATATATAAAAAACGAATAAAAAAAATACCAAAGCACATAAAAAATTACTAAAAATGAAAACTACAACTGAAATAACAATAAATAAAACGCAAATAGTAATATTAAAAAAATATAAATAACATGACAAAAGCACATAACAAAATAACTAAAAATGGAAAACTAAAATTTAAATGAATAAATTGAACCTAAATAGTAATAAAATGACAAAAGCACAAAGCAAAATTACTAAAAATAAAAATTAAAACTGACATAAAATAAAATAAACCCAAATATTTAAAATAAAATAATAAAATGACAAAAGCATTAATTATAAATAAAAATAAAATAACCTAAACATTATTATATATAAAAAACGAATAAAAAAAATACCAAAGCACATAAAAAATTACTAAAAATGAAAACTACAACTGAAATAACAATAAATAAAACGCAAATAGTAATATTAAAAAAATATAAATAACATGACAAAAGCACATAACAAAATAACTAAAAATGGAAAACTAAAATTTAAATGAATAAATTGAACCTAAATAGTAATAAAATGACAAAAGCACAAAGCAAAATTACTAAAAATAAAAATTAAAACTGACATAAAATTAAAAAAAACAAATATTTAAAATAAAATAATAAAATGACAAAAGCACATAAAATTACTAAAAATGAAACAAAAATAAATTATACCTAAATAGTTATATTTAAAATAAAATAATAAAATTACTAAAAATTAAAAGTAAAACTGAAATAAATATAAATTAAACCTAAATAGTAATATTTAAAAAAAAACTATAAAATATCAAAAGCACAAAACAAAATGACTAAAACTAACATAAAAAATAAATTAAACCTAAATTGTAATTTTAAAAAGAAAATAATAAAATGATAAAGTGCTTAAAATTCCTAAAAATGGAAACTAAAATTGAAATAAAAATAAATAAACCTAAATAGTAATATAAAAAAACTAATAAAATTACAAAAGCACATACTAAAAATGTAAAAACAAATCCTAAAAATGTATCAAATATAAAAAAAAAATTTGAAAATATAAAATAAAAGCTAATTCAACATATTAATCAATACAGTCCATGAGTTGCATAAGCTACTTTTATTACGGTACTTTACAATGCTTTTTTTCTTTCATTGTATGGAAAACAGAAGCTCAGATGTTCTGTAAACATCTCCTTTTATGTTTCACAGAAGAAAGAACGTCATATGGGTTTTGAAACAAGACAAGAAAAACTTTCATTTTTAGATGAACTATTCGAGAAAAGTTTGCAGGAAATCTGGTCCAGCTGCTTGCAGCACATACAGCGAGAGAGATGAGAGGATCGGCTGCTCTCCACTATTCCCACCATAAATACCAGTGCAGAGATGACAAGACCAGGAACTCCACTAGATCTAGTCTAGATCCATACTCCACTCGCAGATCGCAGACGAGCTAGACCTGAAGTTTCAGGGCCAGGAACCCTGCAGGAACTGTCTAGACTGATCTAGCTCACAGCTTTAGATTGTTTACTTCAGTCCAGGGCCTGTTTCACAATGTTTGGTCCTTAACTTCAAGTAAATGTTTGACAGTTCAGCTCATCTGATGTGCTGGAAAATCACAGGAATAGAGGTCAAACGTTTTGTGTTTTGTCTTTGTTTCTTTATGCTGTACAACATTCACTATCGTTCAAAATATTGGGGTTGGTAAGATTTTTTTAAATGTTTTTGAAAGACTCTTATGTTCACCAATGCTCCATTTGTTTGATCAAAAATACAGTAAAAACAGTAATATTGTGAAATATTATTTTGATTTCAAATAACTGTTTTCTATGTGAATATATGTTAAAATGTAATTTATTTCTGTGATCAAAGCTGTATTTTCAGCATCATTACTCCAGTCTTCAGTGTCACATGATCTTCAGAAATCATACTAATATGCTGATTTACTGCTCAAGAAAAACATTTCTGATTATTATCAATGTTGAAAAGTTAATATTTACTTATTCGTTTATTTAATGATTCTTTGATGAATAGAAAGTTCAAAAGAACAGCACTGATGTGAAATAGAAATCTTTTGTAACATTATAAATGTCTTCACTGTCACTTTTTATCAATTTAATGCATCCTCTCCGAATAAAAGTATTAATTTCTTTAAAAAAAAAAAAAAAAACCTGACCCCAAACTTTTAGTGCAAGTCCACACTTTATGTCATTCTTGATCACATCTGGTCTGATCTGAGCTGTTTTCAGTCACAAGAGTTCAAACCTGACATGAAATAAACCAGATGGGGAACATGAGTTTTATAGAAGCTTTTTTCCATTACAATAAAGTGCCTGACAAGATATATGTACAAACGTTTTGTGTTTTGTCTTTGTTTCTTTATGCTGTACAACATTCACTATCGTTCAAAATATTGGGGTTGGTAAGATTTTTTAAATGTTTTTGAAAGACTCTTATGTTCACCAAGGCTCCATTTGTTTGATCAAAAATACAGTAAAAACGGTAATATTGTGAAATATTATTTTGATTTAAAATAACTGTTTTTTATTTGAATATATTGTAAAATGTAATTTATTCCTGTGATCAAAGCTGTATTTTCAGCATCATTACTCCAGTCTTCAGTGTCACATGATCTTCAGAAATCATACTAATATGCTGATTTGCTGCTCAAGAAAAACATTTCTGATTATTATCAATGTTGAAAAGTTAATATTTACTTATTCGTTTATTTAATGATTCTTTGATGAATAGAAAGTTCAAAAGAACAGCACTGATGTGAAATAGAAATCTTTTGTAACATTATAAATGTCTTCACTGTCACTTTTTATCAATTTAATGCATCCTCTCCGAATAAAAGTATTAATTTCTTTAAAAAAAAAAAAAAAACCTGACCCCAAACTTTTAGTGCAAGTCCACACTTTATGTCATTCTTGATCACATCTGGTCTGATCTGAGCTGTTTTCAGTCACAAGAGTTCAAACCTGACATGAAATAAACCAGATGGGGAACATGAGTTTTATAGAAGCTTTTTTCCATTACAATAAAGTGCCTGACAAGATATATGTAGGGACGATTTATCTATCTATCTATCTATCTATCACATCAATATAAGGACTGCATATGTTCCTCTTCCTGACACTATAAACTCATTTCTGTATAATTGACCACCAAACTTCTACTTTTGTCCATTATAATCAGCCTTCATTTCCTATTTCAGTCCTATTTCTGTCAGCACAGCACATTAAAATCCCTCCATCCGTCTTCACTTGTGGTTTATAGCAATACACGAGAGACCGAACTTTACAGCATCTAAAACACTTTAGTTCTGCAAACAAAGCTGATCTTCCATTAGCCAATTAAACCATTAGCTCTCTCATTCACTCAGTGAAAGCAGTAAATGATATGTTAACCAGACAAAAGGCACTCCGACCACAAATGCAAGTCAACCAGAGTTGGGTGTTCAATAAGATGGAATATCTTAAGCAAAATACTAAATTAAAAGTTATAGTTCACCACAAAAAAAATCGAAAATTTGCTGAAAATGTACTTCAATCTTCAATATGTAGATGAGTTTGTTTCTTAATCAAAACAGATTTGGAGAAATGTAGCATTGCATCACTTGCATCACCAATGGATGTGAATGGGTGCCGTCAGAATGAGAGTCCAAACAGCTGATAAATACATCACAGTAATCCACAAGTAATCCACACCACTCCAGTCCATCACTTAAATTAATGTATTGTGAAACGAAAAGCTGGATTTTTTTTACTTTAAACCATTGATTCTGGCTAAAATACGAGTCCATAATCCATAATAATGCTTCCTCCAGTGAAAAAGTCCTTCATCTTCTGTTGTCTCTCACATCAAAATCCACCCACATATTTGTTTACAGCTGTTTTGGACAGTAATTACATTTTCAGCAATTTTATATTTTATGTGAACTATTCCTTTAATTCTCTTTGGTCACCACATCAGGTTCAACAGTAAATTACTATGATATAAGCAATAATATAAATCTTCATAGAAAGCTCTTATGCAGATGTGATTTATGTGATGAATGCACTTGACATGTTGATTTGACTAGATTGAATTTACTAAATTTAGTTTTATTTTTTCTTTTCAGGAACCCGATAATGAATTCCGATGCACCTAAAACAGGAGTTCATAATCATATTACTGAAACTGACTGGTACATGCATTTGAACCGCATTGCCGGAAATTGACAAACTCACCAGAAGCTCTCCGGACAAATCTGTTGAAAACTGGAGCTGAAAGGAAAGAAAGAAAAATTACTCATAAAGTGCATCACAGTAAAACTGAATATTAATGCTTATAAAATATTTAATTCAATATGCCACAGTAATGGCCTAGATGGATCCGTTATCACACAGCCTGACCAAAACGTTTGCCTCTTAATTGATACTCCCTCTGATTGACACACATCACATGGTCATAGAAACACAAAGCATTTGCATGCGCAAAACAATACAGGAAAAGGCCTCGTGCCAATATTTTGTCCTAATGCACACAGGGCCTAGCATCATATTTATGAATATAAACCAGATCGTCCATCAAAAAAAGCAATCAAATTAGAACGTTTAGATGATAAAAACGGGAAGTGCAATAACAAAAAATATCATTTAAAGCAAATTAAGCCTGGTCTTTTGTTCCGATCCCCTTCTGCAAAAAATGAGATGTGTGATCATGCATTACCAGTGAACAAATGAGCAGTGTTTTGAGCATTAAAGCATACGCTATTGTGTATATATAACTGGGGATCTAGCTGATGCGATGGACGCAGCGTCCTAGTATCGCAATGAATGAAGGAAGAGCGCACGCACGCATGAATTACCTACGAATTCTTCATCATCATCCTCTTCCTCTCCGTTTTCGGAGTCGATCTGCATGGCCTCCTCGATGAAGTTGACGGCTTTCCCCGCTCGCGCGGCTGAATTGAGCTCATTGCCGAACGCGCCGCCGCGGGTCTCGTTCTCCTTGAGACGCGTGAAGTACTGCAGGGCGAACTCCAGCAGGTCCCCCGGCTGGTTCCTGAGGACCTCCACGGTAAAGCTCTGCAGAAGCTCGGTCAAGCCCTCGGGGATTTCTATACTCATTTCCTGACGGTGAAATGTGCGCAAAATTCGGCCCGATCTTGCGCGTAAAACAGTCGGTCCCGTTTCGCCGCGTCAGCTGAGAAGAATGACCCGCAAACGCGTCAGAGGCAACGCGACGGATTTCTCACTATTCCACCATCTGCGTCTGCTTCCTCTCGTGTCCGACCGTGTCCTCTAATTTGCGGGTGTAAAAATGGCAGGGAATTCAAGAGCTGGCATCTTTTTTTGTTGTTGCGTTGCTGGCTACAGGAAAGCCGCCGCGCATGTGATGCGGGAAACCATGGCAACCAGCAACCCGGGATTTGCGCAGGAGGAACGCGAACGCGACGCGATGAGCTAGAACGCAACGCGAGCTCTTAAATAATCCCTGCGATTTCACACGAAAGATATTATGACGTTTTTGGACGCGTACCATGGTATTACTATAGTATTGTTTTAGATCACCATATTGCAGTGTATGTAAATAGCACAGGCCTATATGAATATGGAAATCATTCAGGACTATGGTAGGGAAGACCGGGGCTAGTTGTCACACTTTTTTCTCTTTTACATATATTTCTCAAGATTTATTTAAAGGCACCTTCAGTACATAAACAAACTTGACTACTAAAATAAGTAAATACAAATAAATCGATATACGTTTTACATAAAATAAATCATGAAATGACAAAATAAAAAAGGTAACAAGAATATAATTTTGTCCATCAGAAACTTAAATAAAATAATTTAATATAAAATACATTTTTTATCAATATTATATAAACTAAAATTACAATATACAGATAGGTTATATATAAATATATAAAATTACAATATATGCTACAATATGAATCTCCTGTGACAACCTACCCCAGCCTGACTTTTATGAAAAAACCCAGAGAACATAGTTCAGCAAGACGTTTGGCAATTCAATTCAGACTTTACAGTCAGTGAGAGATCAACTTTTCCTGTGTGACAACTAGCCCCGGTCTCCTCTAATATATACAGTATCAAAGTACCATTACCAACACTGTACATAAAACTGTATCACATCATACAGATTCAAGACAATGCAGAAGATGGTATGAGCTAAAGTGTTATATATTCAGCGTTGTGCCTCTTTAGAGTGACGCTTTCAAAAATAATTAAGTTAATGGATAAACAGAGACCTCAGGCAGAATTAGACTGAGTGGGTTGCTGGTTAATCCCTGTTTGACGACAAATATGAGCTGATTATGTTGAGATTATTAAACGTGAATACATTTTAAAATTGGAGAGTAGAGTTTGACCTTCTGGGAACAATTAGATTGTT